CTTCCATGTACATAGCCCATCTCTTTCTTATTGTGGCTTTTGTTTTGATCAACCTTAGATAGTCTTCCATGTACATAGCCCATCTCTTTCTTGTTGGACTTTTGTATTTGATCAACCTTAGATAGTCTTCCATGTACGTAGCCCATCTCTTTCTTGTTCGACTTTTGTTTTCGATCAACCTTAGATAGTCTTCCATGTACATAGTCCATCTCTTTCTTATTGTGGCCTTTTATATTCGATTAACCTTAGATAGCCTTCCATGTACGTAGCCCATGTCTTTTCTTGTTGGACTTTTGTATTCGATCAACCTTAGATAGCCTTCCATGTACATAACCCATATCTTTCTTATTGTGGTTTTTTGTTTTCGATCAATCTTGCAGAGCGCACGCGTTACGGCACATAGCGTGGCGGAGAAGGGCACAACACTGCTGATGAAATTTGAATCAGAGGTAAGCCGAATAGAACTAACCAATTCCTGGTCTATACTGTAGTAGCCTTATATGTATTTATGTATATATGTATATGTATAAGACTTTAGTAAGAAGTTCCTTAACGCATCTCAGGTAGGTGTGTGATACATTGGTCAATCGAGGTCCTGCGTCGTATCTAATCATCCCAAAAATAACTTTTTTTGAATCGCCTGTTGCCCCCTATCAGTACGACGAGTGGTAGATTATAGTCAATATCATACTGCTGGGGGGTTATGAGGAGTCACAAGCAAGTCTCGCAGATCACAGGCACAGATTCTGTATCACGGAATAAATAGAGAGCGTGTTTGCACCACAAACGATTAGACCCTCTTGTGGTTCTGGTGCACTCTGGTACACCGCACAGGGACAGTCATAGTTCTTGCCGACCTCGCTAGCCTATATGTCATAGGGTTTCTGGCGGTAGGTTTTTGATTCGAGTCTCAGAGACGCGTACACCTTTAGAAACGTCAGCCACGCGCCCATTCTATCTCCAAAAGAAATAGCTCAGACGAAGCTAACACTACCAGAAGTCCTGGAATTAGCGACAGACTTCTGACGACGCATTCGCCCTCCCCCCTTTTTCTCTCGTAGGTTATTCAACGGGAGCAGAAATAGACTTGGATAAGTGATTGATAAGTGAGACGGAGACGGAGGCGCTCACATCAGTCAGCCAAAACTGCAAAGCTCGAATGAAGGTCACGCGGGTTTTGCGTTTATGCGCATGGACCGCTATGTGCAACATCGTTCTGAGTACACCTCAATCGACATACATATGCCCATGTATGCATGTGCGTGTACACCTACGTACATGCTTTAATGCAAACATCCCGAAGTGGGCTTGGGATTGCTGATGTCTTAGTGAGGTGTGTGCTGCTGCACTCGGTGTAGTTCGAATACCGATCTGAGACACCGGATTTAATATACCTGTAAGGAGTTGCAGGGAGAGTATTGACAAGGGACTACTCTTTTTTGATATAGGATCATAGGAATACTTCCATACTCACTACTTCATAGACCATAGTCAAATGTACATACGAGCTGTTGCTGTTGCCATGGTGACACGCGATGTTGCACCCGGTACACTCCTTGCAAGAGCGCCTGAAACCGAGTATAGTTATATAAACACCTCTTAGACCTGCACTTTCTCGATCTGTTTTAACAGTATGGGCTGCATAGTGTCTGCAATCCATTCACCCCCGACTGAGCGACTGTCATCGTCCACATGCAACGTATGTTGTATTGTGAGCATCCGATGTATTGGTAAGAACAAAGGTACATCTGTGAACTTCGTTCTTGAACATCGGGGGAGAGATTCGATTAGGTTCATATGACAGTAAAATAAAGGCCACGAACAATATCGATTGCGAACCAGACAACACGTCGTTGAATAGCACACGACGCACGGATCAATTCTCGTGAGCAGAGGATTCCTGGCGGTCTCAAAGCCCTCAGTGGCCAAAAACTCATTGACGGCCAAGCCCTTGGGAGTAGTTGTAAGGATTCATGTTGCGTTTGACCCCGCCGAAGCTGGCAGTTTGTACGAATCAAATCCATATATTGCAAATTGACGAATCAAAGCCATTCATTGCAAATTGCCGAATCAAGTCCATACATTGCAAATTGACCCATGGAAGCTGTTGTGCACTATCTGTAGCTCAGCTGTGTTCACAGCCCCGAAGTATTTGCGAGCACGAGTCATACAAGTAGCAGTGCCTCTGGGAGGTAGAGCGAATCTCGGTAGTGCAAGGATGGAGTCTGCGCCATACAACTGGTTTTTTAACCCCGTCTATTCTCGCATTAGAACTTAATACGCACCAGGACCTGGCTTTTACTTGTCCTTGAAAGGAAGTCATGGATTTTCGTGTTTTAAGTCGCAGCTGTCTCTCACAGCATACCGCGAGAAGTATACAGAAGAAGTATGTAGATAGCCAACGATATTTTCGTACATAGATGCCACCGAATGAGCCACACGCACACTTCCGAACTCCTAACTACGGGCATGACTTGTGAGATATCTGAAGCGAAGAGTTTAACCGAGATTTTTGATCGACTTCTCAACATGAAACAGGTGAATTGGAACGAAGGAAAATGTGAATCAAACTTCCAATAGACTGTTCGATTTCGGGTGTAGTTGAGTCCTGAAATTCATGGATAGACCATGCAGTAGCAGTGAAGTGTTGATTTCTAGATAATTCTTGGTGCTTGTACTCGTATTGAGTAATTTTTAGTAGTTGTATTCATCTTGAGTAGATTCTGATTCTGGGTCGACAGGGCTACGTATAATCAGCACACACACCATTTGCAGTAACTTCTGGTCCACCCGGTCGCTACCATCACAAGTACAGTTGGAGTGCATGCTGTGCATGTCGATGTTATTCCATGTGTGTGTCAACCAGAGGAATTGATTGTATTACATAATTATCCGGTAGGTAGTTTCCTTTCGGCGTGTCGTAGTTAGCATATTCCCCGTATCATTGGTCCTTGAATGACATCTGACATCTGAATCATGAAAGGTGAGCCAACTCCAAAGACAGTATTAAGACTATCATGTTGCGTAGCATGGGGATTCAGATCATTCGCAGTGATGCGATACCTAAAGAGTGGGCCTCTCTCACTGTCTATGTAGCGCTTGACGGTTCAAATTTGTGATATACATCGGCTTACCGAGATACAGAACTCCACTGTGTATCCAGGACTACTTGCCGTTGCCCGGAGGACAACTCAATGGCCACATAAGGAAAGCTGTGATGCGCCAGAGTTGGCCCGTGCAATCCGTGTGAATTCGTAGTATAGAAGAAGTATAGAATCTAGGTTCCATTAGCTGAGTTCCGTGTGAATTCGTAGTATAGAAGAAGTATACAATCAGGGTTCCATTAGCTGAGTTCCGTGTGAATTCGTAGTAGTATAGAAGAAATATACAATCTGGGTTCCATTAGCTGAGTTCCGTGTGAATTCGTTGTGTAGAAGAAGTATACAATCTGGGATCCATTAGCTGAGTGCGCTGGAGAGAAACTTCATTATGCAACTATGATTGATAAGTGAGAATTCGTAGGGGTTCAAATAGAAAGCGCAATATGGAACGTATATACGCTTTGATTTAATTACTGAATTTCTTTATTAATTGGCACAGTTGTTGTATATGATAAATCTCGGCCGTGTATTGCGAGGATTTGCCAAAGGTATCACTACAGCTTGTGTAGTAGTCCTGCAAGTTTGCGAACGATGAATGGCCACACGTATAGTAATGTTATTTCACCGACAATGTCTGAACACACGCCTACCAGAATATTTGCTCAGATGAACCAAATTGTTTGGTACAGGAGCGGTTCCAATCCGCGGAGAGTTCAAAGATGTCAGCGTAGCATCGCATTGTACTGCCGACTGAGCGACAACAACTTCGCTTCTTCAACTGTGAGCACCTCAGCCAAGTGGACTCGCACTTCGTCAGGCGTTGTACGTTGCCACTATTGAGCACTCGTCATCACATGCGCTCGAGTGTATCCGCTCGCATACCACTTGCACCTGCATCGGTTGATGCGTCGCATATACTACGATAGACTCACGAACTTGAATGAGACAACGCTAGCGATACACCAGCCTTTCTTATTGAAGCGCGTCTTTATTCGTACTCCACTGTGACTACCACAGCGTGTGTGAGTTCGCTTGCCGTGATAGACACTTCGATACCGCTAGACAGCTTCAATTCGCCCAATGATTTGTCCAGATTGGGCAGCGTCGCTATCCTCAGCGGTTCGGGCCTCTCCATATACAGCGTGTTCCCAGACGCACGCATACCGCTGATTTCCTTGATGTTGCTGTGTAATGTATAAATAAAACGCTGCCGTGAGCTTGCGGATGTGTAAAATATA